AGAAAAACTATCTGTTAAAGGAACTAGGCACTAGCGTGTATTAGGGCGGATCAAGAAAGACAGTGAAAACGACTCGAAAACGATTCGAATACGCTGCGTGTGGACGCGAACATTTTCGTATGCGCAAAAAAWATATATATATAATAATAAATAAAAAAATTGCGGATACAGAAATTTCCGGATACGTGTGGACGGGGCCTAAATTATAAGCTTACTTTGGTGTCCTTTCGAGTGTTGTGATTTTTGTAAAACTCACGCAACTCCCCCTGCACTCCTTCACACTCTTCAGAAGGACACCTCCTGTCGAGGTATTATCTTAGAGAAAATAAGTTAACTTTGGTGTCCTTTTGAGTGTTTTTATCCTTTATCAAACATCGGGTACTCCGCAGTCCTTAACATAAAAAATTAAATAACAAAATTGTACAAATCAGTGCAAAGTGTTGTAGGTCTACGGTCAGTACTGAGGTTTACTGAACTTCAGTACTAATTTGTGGAAATTTGTGCAATTTCTCACCACGTTTTTCACGGATATATGGTATGCATTCTATTACAACTAAGCTGGGAGTGAGTTCAATACAATCAGAGCAAACTTTTCGGATAAATCCTTATCCCGTGGATAAGTCGATGCTGTTATCCAATAAATTTATCCACTGGATAAATATATATCCGTCGGATAGCGCTATCTACCCTTCGTACAACCAGGCCCAGGAAGTGTATGCGCTAGCACCAAGACCGTCTCTCCTAGATCAAGGTCTGGTCGTGACGAGTATTGAATACAGCATCTTTTAAAATTTTAATTCGTTGACGCGATGAATTTGATGTTAACTTGATTATAGGATCGCTGGAGTTGATATTTTAATATCGTGTTTACTTTTTTTGCTTGCGTGATGTTTTAGTAGCGTGTTGACGCATATTTTTCGTGTTTGTTCTGCGTGCTTGTGTTGCGTGTGCCTATTGCGTGTACCTATAGCGTGCTCGTATCGCGTGCTCGTATCGCGCGATTGTATCTCGTGCTTGTATCGCGTGCTTGTATAGCGTGCTTTAGTGTTAATTGTCATACTTAGTCTTACGTGTATTGCAAGTAAAAATATATACGCTGATTAGTACGCAGATATATTCAGTATCTCTCTTACACCATTGTGCGCAGATTCAATACTCAAACCTTGCTCCAACTGAGTAAAAGGGTGAAAAATTCACTAGAAGAGTAGTTATAAGCAACTTGAATTCCCGGCATCTTGGTTTTTAAAAAAATGCCCAGAGACCTTTCATCAAAGATTATTCATTCGAATTTTAACACAATTCAAGAATAAACCAGTTAACGTACAATTTGTATTTTTTATTGAAATATGAACTTTATTTTTTTTGTACTTTCAGGTCCTAGTATACTCTTAATTTAACCATGGTTGACACCTCTGATCTCGTTCACCGCTTGAATGAAACACACTGGGAGAAGAAGAGTGACTATCCGAATAAAGATGGTATGAGTAAAGAGAAGATCAATAATACATAGCGGTCTGCGTATTTAGTGTCCTCGTTTTCAACCAAGGCTACCGGGCTTCGCTCTTCTCCATAAACACTCAACCCCTCCCCCCCCCCCCCCCCCCCCCCCCCCCCCCCAAACACAATCCCAATAGTTCATACAACCTTAATTAAGGGGCAACGAATAAAATAGAATGAAATCAAATGCCGAGATCATTTCATTGACGTAGTTGGAAGACACCCCCTCCCTGACCGCTTGTAGTGGGTGTCCGTATAGTGACATAAATATCTTTAGCATAATGAAAACAGACTGCACATTCATGTTGGCGATTTGACTTTTATTTTTGGAGATATTTGAGACCAAAATTCATTGTTTCACTTGCAGAGGTGCATGGTGGGTAATGGATAGCCCTACCCCTCCCCTCTAAAGATAACAATAGTTTTGAACTCACCCCTAACCAACTGATCTTAAATAGCGACGTAGAAATGACGTAATTGCAAAACTGAGGTATCCTGAAGCCTGCGAAAATTGACCATCGAAAAAAAAAAATGCCCGCCATTGGAATAAAAATAGTTGTTTTTTTTTTCATTCCTGGAAATGACCTGGAAATCCGTGATTTCAAGAGGATAAGTGAGACCTCAGTTTTGCAAATTGTCTCCATTGATTGTCTAGGATGTTTTTCTCAGATCAACTGGCGAATCCTGTTTCTTATTTTCAAACTAGATATCAAGGAATTCCGTATCACGCGACACATGGAAAAAGGAGGAGGGAACTTCATCTACTTAGCCCAGCGCACCGAAGAAGGCTGCGACGATATCTTCCAGCTCATGATCTCCGACACCAAAAATGCTGACCCATTCAAAGGAGTTCAAATTGTCAGCTTGGCCATCAAAGATGATCGCAAGACTATCAAAGCCATCGTGTCTGTGGAGGGCGACTATTTCGTTAGGAAGGACTAGAGCGATTGAGATCCAAGGGTGTTACTAGGTTACCCGTGTTCATTGTGATGCCATGATAGTCAATATCCACCAAGTCACGTGACCAATCTCCGTCATATTGGATGACAACGTGAACTCTCAACTCTGCCAGCCAGTTCCAGAAGTAACGAGCGAATGAAAATTCAGGTATTTAAAATGTCTGTTCTTGTCATTCAACATGGTGGACACTGATCACGTGACTAGTGCATATTTCGTATATGGGCTATTTAAGAAATAGGATTTGAAGAACTGTATTTCCAAATTATGAGACGCCCCGGTTTGTGAATTACCTTATCAAAGCGGACAGATGTTTTCAAGCTAAATCCATATGAGTGTGAAGAACAATATATCCATAGCAAAAGGTGTTACGTTTATCTTATTGAATTGCGTAGTAAAACATTTTTTACAACTTTGTCGAAGTTTTGCAAATTCGTCGCATTTTTGTTCTCTCGACTTTCGACCTGTTATTCTCGACACTCGACTAAAAACCATTCTAATCGAAGCAGCATCCCAAAGCATTGTCCCCTCCGCAAACATTAGTTTCGGTCCCAGATCCTCACGGGCCTTCCTCACTTAGGATCTGGGTTCGAAACTAATGACGGCTGCGGACTATACTATTCATGGCAAGGTTACCTGACAAATCGAATTGAAATTTAGGGACCAGTCATTAAAGTTGGAGGGGAGGGGAGGGGGAGGGGGAG